ATGATCTTTCAAAATCTTTTGATTTGCCTCAGCTTTTAGAACTTCAAGAACTTGAAGACGAAAATAATGTGATTTCAGAACAATTTATAGATATGGTTTTTGAAAAGTTTAATGAATTACCAATTACAGAAAATAATTTATCACCAAGGCGATATTTTATTCATAGATGCATAAGCATATTACCACTTGAGTCACCTATTCGTCTTCACCTTTACAAAAAGATCTTTTCTCAGGAACCTTTGCCTTTAACCTTCCCGACAATTCATCGCGTTTTCTTAACAGAACAACATGAACAAGATGACTTATTTATTGGTCTAATTAATGATCCACATGAAGCTTTAGAAGGATCTGAACGTTTGCAAGTCATAGAAGAAGTCCTGAATGAAAAACATTTTGATTCAGCAATATCAGCTTTATGTTGTGATGTTATTCAAACACAATTCTTTGATGCCTACGGAATAAAACGATTATCAAAACATTTCATGAAAGCAACAGAAATCCTGATTACCACTGATGTTAAATATTTACAAAGAATATGTGCGATCGCTTTTTTGAAAACATTTGTAAATAAATTATGGAATTCTGCATCAATGGAAAAATCTTTAACTAATCCTATAGAATTCAATTTTGATGGTGATGATGATGATGACGAAGAACCTATTTATTATAACCAAGAATTCAATATTAATGATTTAAATCAACGTTTGGAATTAACACAACCTTTAATCCATTCATTTATGCTCTATTTGTTAAAATCATTACGATTGAAAGGATATTCTACTGACGACATTAGACGATTTTGTGAAATACAACAACAAGTTATACCACATCTTGGGGAAATTCCATGGAATAATAACGATAATCGACTTGGTTATAATCCGTATTGGTGTTTGGAACAATGTAAACAAGCAGAACATGCAGCTACCAGAATAATAGTTCGTGGAGATGACACACACTTAAGAGAATTAATAAAAACAATATTAAATCCCAACGCAGATGAGATAATAAACCATCGAATTTCATTCTCAGGAATGATAATAACAAGACTTTATCTTATTCAAGCATCTCGTGAGTGGAATCAAAGTGAAACATTACTAGCAAATCATATAACCAAGTTTTTGGACAATAAACAAGATAAAAATCGTATTCCTCCAATTTATAAACAAACATTGACGAACTTTTTAATGAATAAACAAGAACTTTGCAGAATTGGTCCTGAAGATGATAATAGGAAGGTTTATATGGCTTCAGTGATTGCACATGTAATTGCGTTACATATTTCGGTTCCTCCCAATTCTTCTCCATTGGCTATGTATATGCAAGCCTTACAAGATTGTAAAAATGATTTTATTTTGGGATGTCCTTCGGACGAGCAAACAGTCGTAATCAATGCAGTAATGATGTCCAATATGGCTGACAAACGCTTGACAAGGTAAGCATCATATAACAAATAATATTTATTATATTAATGATTTATGAAAATAAAAAAAAAAACTTTTGTTATTATTAGATACCAATGTGAATGTGGATATGTGTATCTAGTTGGTGAATGTGGAAATGTAACACATGCTAGCAGTTGCCCAAAGTGCAAAAGAATCATTGGAGGTCAAGCTTACGATAGACCGGCGGCAGGAAATTCACGTTTAGACAATATACCGTTAACCGAACCAAAAAACGCCAATGATCAACGAGGTTACATTATAGAAACACCAAATACCGAAAACTTTTATAGCATTAGATTAATGTCACCAGCGTCTTATAGAATTATTCATCTTTTTACACACGCTATCATTGGAATACAAGCACCATCTCAAAATGTCACCAGGTTTATTAAAGGTAATGCAAACACAAATAATCTTGGTGAAAACGATATGGCCGAATATTGTGCAGCACATATTAATCATGATTGGGATGCATTGAAAAAAATTCTTGCCTGTGGTGATGAGCAACTAGCTTTACTTTTACATGCGATTATTTCGGAAATGACGCGACAGCCATTACCAAGACAAGCAAAATTAAATACATCAAACGAAAGAGAAACTTGGGAGTTGCAATTTAATCAAAAATACGTTACACCATTAATTAAAAATGTCATGGGATCTGTGACAGATTTTCGTATGCAATTAGAAACAAATGCTGTAAATGCTCAACCAAAAATTGAATCTGAAATTAATGAAATGGTAACGTTGAATGATCTCTATGTTGCAAACCATTTACCACGACTATGGCGTCTGATTGGTGTAACAAATTTTGATAATTTCCGTGCTTATTACTTGAATAACATTGAATATAAGGAATCATTCCCATTCTTGGCAGTATTCTTAAAGCATGAAAAATATTTATCACTCATTCGATGTCTCCTTCCAATTGTAAAATTTGTCCAGATTTTACATACTAGTCTTTCATATCGAATGGAAAGACAAGATGCAAGATCATTAACATTCAGAAAATTTATTAATGATGAAAGTGAAAACGATGACACAGGTGAAACAGGTAGATCATTAAAAAATGCGTTCAAACTTTTTGCGACAGCCTGGAATAAATTGATTCCACACGTTAAAAGGTATCAGTGTTTAGAACTACCATATGATATGCCAGAAATGAATGAGGATAGACATGTTGTTTTAGGATTTTACGAAGAAGCAAATGAAGGCTTGTTCTTATGTGGTGCCATAGACTTCTTAGTTCAATTACAAAATGATTTCCTTAAAGAAGTCATTGAAATTCCCTCAGCAACATGCCAATCTCTAAAATTCCTTGAACAAACAGTGATTCAAACGAATAAAAAAGGAAAACACACAACTCCTCCTATGTACCAATTACAATCTATTTCTCTTGAGAAAATAAGGCCAGTGCACATAGTATCATACGAGTATGATTCAAATATTTTCGGACATAGTCAGTTTGATCTGAGAATTGGTCATGGACGTGAAATTCAATATGATTTAAGTAAAATTGAAGCAGAACTAGCTTTTGAATTAGTTCATGATAAAGCATTTATTGTACCTAATGAGCAAAAATCTTATATGGAATCTTTTGTATATCATAAGGAAATTTTCCAAGGATCTATGACATTATTGAGCGAAATCAAAGAATTAATAAATCAGGAACCAATTCCTGATGATAAGAAAGCTTTATTTGCAGGAACTTATTCATCAATTAATAGGTCATTTGTTAAAGGAGATTATGGAGAAAATAGTGCTTTTGCAGCAACATTTTCATTTGAAAATCCAAAAGATTTGCTCTCAACTTTGGAAATGATACTTTGCTTCCTTAAACGCACTTCCGGAGGTGATGGTAATACATTAATCACCGATTATATAGAAAATTGGATGAAATCACATTATTTTCGTCTTCAAGTTCTTGAAGTTCTAAAAGCTGAGGCAAATCAAAAGATTTTGAAAGATCAT